AAATTATTTGAATGAGATTCAAATAAAATTAATATAATAAGATTCATATTAAAACTATAGGTTAAAAATAATGTGCATAAGATGTACATTAGAACTATAGGTTATACGAGAGAAATGTTTTAGAATATGATTCTAATTTTATAAATAATTAAGTGTTAATTATTTATGTATATATATATTTATTAATTATTAATTGGATTAATAATTAATTATATTAATTAATTTGATTAATTAATTATATATTAATTATTATATATATTTTTTAATTATTATTATATATTATATATATATTAATATTAATATTAATAATATTAATAATATTATTATTAATATTAACTCCCCTGCAAAATTGCAGGGGAGTGGGAGGAGTTGTGACGTGGGGAGTTACCCCACGTCACCCTTCTTCTTCCTCTCCATGTGTTGGAGAAGCAGAAGAGGAAGTGAGATACAGAACAGAGAAGGAAACTCCCACAATACTCTCTCAAAATTCTCTCAAACTCTCTCYCTCTTCTRTCAAGGTGCTACCACAAGCACGATCCCGAGACCSAAGAGGATAGCGAGGAAGATCCGGTGGTGGTGTTCGAGGGGAACTTACTGAAGAATCGTTCTTCAAAGGTTTGTTTTTCCCCTGTATTTTTCTTCTGTAAAATTTGATTTTGTATCCCGAAAATCAGCAACGAAAGTCCACTTCCGCTCCGGGATTCACATCCCTTCAGGCACGACCACAAGAGAAGAAGGAAGCTCACGTGTACCTATTTCTTCTGAACGACCTTCAGTTTTCTGAAGACTAAGCTTTACACTAGCGAAAAATAAGAACAAATGTTCTGCATCGGTTTTCGAATGCCTGGTACATGAAGGGACAGGAGAAGCTTCAAAAAAGAGGCAATTTAATGAGACGAAAGCTGACAGAGAAATATGTAGTAGTGTTCCCTCCAGAATGAGAAGAAGGACTCGTATTTTTGTAAGTACGGAGGGCTCCTTGAAGGTGACGCCGCATACTATCATCCTAACGAAACCGTTGGATGAGAGTGAAGAATACGAGGAAGATAAGGCCGAATGTTGCCATGTTACTGTTGAAGAGGCCTCAGACACTGAAACATCTGAAG